TTTGTTTGTTTGTTTGTGTTTAGACAATCAGATAAGAGACTCAGCTCTCTGCTTCTTAACAAAGTGGGACTTTTCTCTTTAAAAAACTCTCTCCATCTATCAGCCCAACACAGATGTGCATTAGGTCATCCAGGCATTTCCAGCCAACACTGATTTACACTCACACTCACTCACACACACACACACTGTTTCTTGCTTGCCCACCCCCTAAATCCCACGGGAGCTTGAAACACTCACAAACACTCCACAAAACAGTTGCCCCGGCAACAACTCCCACAGCACTTAACACAGTCTGACTGTTGTAAGAGCTCGGTTTGAGGGTGATGGTGACCGACTGCCAACTTCAACACTTTCTCCAGTATTTCCCCAAAGGAGGAGTTCAGTTTAGAGAATAAAAGCAGACAAACACACACAGCTGTGTTGTGTTATTGTCCTGTGAAAACCTCACAGCTGACAGCTCTTTGATCAGCATGCTTAGTTGTAGGATTGTTCTTCTCATTTCTTTTATAAGCTGATAATCAATAGACATTTTATAAGTTTCGGGTGATTCACAGCATCTTTTTTTCATCAAATTTTATCGGTTAATGTACGTGGACTGAAATATTCCAATAGTAACCCTGTAATAGACGGTACATAATTCAGATCAAACTATCCTAAAAAGCATTTCTGGTTATTTGTTTCTGTAATTACATTAAAACGCTAAATGACTGAATATAAATGCCCATATTTAGTGTAATACACAAGAATTAAGGATTATTATTTGTGGGTCTTAAGTTTCAAAACAAAGTCTGGATATTTATTGTATTTGCAGCCCAAAACTACTTTAGCTTTTTACTTAGTGAGACTCAAGGTAATAATAACCATTCATTTAGCATTTTCTCCCTATTACTATTTTCAACATCTCTTAGCGGAGGTCATTATTGCCAGAAGACGTTAGCGAAAAGACTTAGAGACTTGGGACTTGCAAACCACCTCTGCTGTACATAAACACTTATAAATATCTGTATTTTGCCACAATTAAAATAATAACTATAATATTACACTTGTTTTCAGTGCTTGCATAGACATTTATCGTGTACTGTTCCACTCCATATTACCTAACCCAATATAAAAACATAACAATGCACCACATTGACTGTCTGTCAATCAATTATTATTGCCAATGAGCCACAAGCAAGCTCTTCCTTACAGAACCTGTCAGCATGCTAACAGCTGGCTGTCATGCCAAAGAGAAAGTCTGCCTTTTTTATAGAGAAAATGCTGTGTTCATGGCATCCACGGCACTGACAGGTGTGCTCTGTAAGTGCTAAGGGCTGAAATAATTGTCCACCATCCTCATAAAAACACTTATGGTGCATGCATAAGCGCATACATATGCACATGCATAAATGTGCAGTACAGTTAAGAATGTGGTCAGCTAATTTCAGATTGATCTCTCCTCACTGAAATATAGTCATTGTGTAAAGATGGTCGAGTTTTACAAGGATTTAAAGTTATGAACATGGTGAGTTTACACAATGTATAGACCTTCAGCAAACAGGCTGATTGGATTGAAATCTTCTTACATCATGAAATTTTATCACTGGAAGTTGAAACATTTTCAGCTTGAACAGATTTGTATCTTCAATTCACGTCACCTGGAGTGAACGTGCCTCTGCTCCCTCTCTCTCCATTGACTTTGTGTTCTTTCATGCTGCCTTTGCATTGTCTCTGGGTTCAGTGTGTAAACAAATGTTTACTATACTACTATACTATTTGTTTGCTGTGTATAGGTCAGGTTGACATGCACGTTTAACTAAAAGTTTACTGTACAAACTGAGAACTTCCGTCTTTGCCCGAAGGCTGCCGGTCTGTTCTCTCCTCTGGGTCACAACACCCCGTCAGTCTCTCTCACTGCAGTAAACGTTGCCAGCTGTCCCGTAAAGACGGCGTCACGAGCAGGAAAGCTGCCGCTCCAGACGGATGAGGGAATGGATTCAGAGTGAGTGACGTCAAGAAGAACCATTCAACAGCTAATACCAGAAAGTTTAAGTTGGCAGATCCTGTTGGAGGTGGTACACAGTTTAAACTGCCTGAGGAGTCTTGGTGTCCGTGTAACAAGCGACGATGTGCTCAGGCAATCTGTTACAGGAAGGTGCAAAATAAGAACTCTATCTTCAGCCAGTGTTTTGGTCCATTCTGGGCTACTGTAGAAAGCTTTTCAACATGACAGACTGCATGGAAGTACGTAGATAAAAATAGCTCTTCCTAAGGTAATGAAAACACAACAATTCCTATGATACACTTATAAATATTGTTGCTTTTGTACAGATATTTATGGTGCCCAGTTAATGAAACCTACTTTTTGGTGAACTTTTCCACTTTTCCTCACACCAGTAAGTCAATATTTCCACTTACTCAGTGAAGTATCTTAACATCTAATGGATAGATTTGCACAAAATGTTGTACAGACAATTAATGGTTCCCAGAGGATTAATGTTAATGACTTTTCCTCTAGTGCCATCAGCAGGTAAAAATTGAAATTTGTCGAATATTTGTTTTATGTCTACAAAACAACTGACATTCCCATGTGGCTCTCCTGTACTATGTTCTTAGTGCTATATCTGGTGCGATACCATTTGTCCGAAAGCATGTTATTCCGAAAACAAACTCTGGTTCACTAACTTATTGTAATGTATTTATTTCAACCCCAAAAATAATATTTTCTTTAGTGTCTAAACCTAACCAAACTGCGTTTCACAACATTTATCACCTTTGTTATTGATACCATGACAACAAAAACTATGAGGACGAAGGTCACCTGACTTGTTACCATGACGGTGGAGCTCACCTGATAAAGGTCAACTTACTTTCCTGCTCATGCAAATACACTAAGATATTAAGGGCAAAAAACTTGCAAGGTTGGGGGTTCAGAGCAAAGGGCTTTTGTTCATGGGATAACTGTCGGCTGTCAGACAAAAGGGCTTTCAGTCCAATGGGACATTTCTTGGAATATGGGCCATTGGAACATTGGGCAGTCCCCTAATTAGCACATTTGAAACATTCTATAATGTTATTGTATAATTTTGTATTCTGGTGATTCACTTTACTACACTGACTTGGTCACCAACTATTTGCCTATA